GCATTCCGCTAGGACACTGAAAACCCAGAAAACAAAACAGACAGTAAACTACCCTTGTTTCTTATGTATCTCAGTGCAGAGACGGGGGGGGGGGGAGGGCGGGGAGGGGGAGACCAGGCCGATGGGGGGAGCGGAGGGAGGGGGATGCTAAGGGGAAGCACACCAAATCCATTAGTACTATATATAGAGATACTCGTATATACTGCGTTTCTTAGCCTAAGAAGAAACTTGTTTGACGGGACGGGCGGCCTTCGCGGTCCGCGATGCTGGTGCTGGTCGGGCGCACGGATCTCCCGGGAGGGGCCAAAGTGGGGCTGGCCCAGGCTGGCTTGGGGTGGGGGTAAAAGGAGGGGGGAGAGGGAAAGGGGGCGCCCCAGGGAGGGTGAGCGGGGGGGGGTGGAGGGGAGCAGAGTGCGGGTCTGGGGTGCCCCTCGGGCTCTCGATTAGGGGACGAAAGTTCTCGTGACTTTATTGCTCCTTTGTTTTTCTCTCGTGTGCGTGTGTGTGTGCGTGTGTGTGCGCGTGGGGGGGTCCGTTCTGCACGGGCGGGGTGGGGGTGGTCGGAGCCACCCGGCCCCTCTGGGACCCAGAGCGCGGCGTCCGCTCCGCCAGCACGGGGGTGAGAACAAGGCACTAGGTCGGCCGGCCAGCGCGGGGCGGGTGTGTAAGGCAGTCGTCGGGGCTGGTTGCGGGGGTGGGGGCTGGGGGGCTGTGTGCGGGGGGGCCGTGTGCGTGCGTGCGTGCGTGCGTGCGCGGGCCAGGGCAGATCGACCTGTCGGCGGCGTGGCTGGTTCTGTTCTGGAGCATGGAGCCTTCCTTCCGGGGTGGGGCTGGGGGGGAGCCAGGGGTGGTGTTGAGTGGGGGGGCGCCGGGGGGGAAAGGGGGGGTCGGGGAGGAAACGACCAACTTGCAGAGCGCGCTCCTGATAATGCTGGTGAGGGTCAAGTTGGCGTCTGGCTCAAAGAAGGGCGCTCGGGAGGGTCCGGACGGAGAGGGAGAAAGGAAGGGACGTTTGTTCGTTGGCATTGACCTCTGCGGAGGAGGGGGGAGGCAGGGACCCCCGCAGCGCCCCTCCTCCGTGCCCCGGCGGGAGTGGGGCGAGGAGGGGGCGCTGGGCCCCAGGAAAGGGGGGTGCCCGGGGAGACCCGCGGCCGAGCAGCCCGGCCACCGGCGGGTGCGCGCGCCGCTGTCCCGTTCCGTTAAACTCAACAAAGAAGGGGTATGCATGTTTCTAACAAGTGCAGGATATTTAATTGATTCATAAACTTATGCATAATAGTTTGTGGGTTTCTTAAAACGTACTTTATAATGTAAGAAGCACCAGGGTTTTTATGTTGAATTATCTTAAAAGTAATTTTCTCTCGTCCTTTTCCTTTTTTGTTTCTCCTTTTTGATCTTGTGTTGGTTGATTTCTTTTTAATGTCAAGGTTTGTGTGTGTGTGTGTGTTAAAATTCGAAAATGTGAACATTTCCTTCAGCCCTCCCACCGAAACCCAGAACGAACGACGAAAACAAATAAAAACCCCAGGTCATCCTCGTCAACGCAGGAAAACGATTAAAAAAAAAAAAGAAAACGAACAACAACAACAAAAAAGGCAGAAAAAGAAAAGAAAAACCACTCATCGGTCGTGGCCCCGCCCGGGGCGGGGAGGCCCAGTTCTTTTAGCGTCCCCGGAGCCGCGAGGACAGGACAACAAAAATAGAATTTTTTCTTAACAATCTCTAACATACAAAGATAGGAAAACTCTCTGATGCATTGCACTTGGTTCAGTGAAAAAAAAGTTCATTTCCCCCATATATATTTTTGTGGGTTTTTTTTTTCTCTCCTAACACATCCCCACGTCCGTCGCCCTGTCCGCCCCCTCCCGGCTCGCGACCCCCGGGGAAGGGGCGCCCGGCCCGCCCCTCCTGCCCGAGCCCAGCTGCCTGCAGCTTCCGACC